TAATTCCAACAACTCAGAATAGTAAGAAAGGATAGATGATATGTTGCACTTTATACTACTCAAGTTAACCACAACAGTTTTTCTAAACTCAATATTGTCAGGAGTAGGTTCCGGACAGTCAGTAATAGCTATACAAAAATCGCCATGCAGTAAAGTAGGACACTTAAACCAAGATTCAAGATCGGTCACTTTTCGTATACCCTTCGAGCTCCAATCAGCTGAATCCTGTGACATAACTCGATTGTTCAACCATCGTATACTGGTGCACAACAGCGAGGCGATTGGCTATACCGGATCCCAGTATTCTTAGTGTTGTATAACACTATCGTGTAATCTGTACGGAAGTTCACTTTGCAGAAAAAATTGGGCAGACTCCCTCGTAAGGCTTCACTTAGCTCCATACTTAATACCACTGCCGCTATCTCAAGCCTCGATATAGTGACTTTTTTTATAGGTGCTACATTAGACTTGCTGTACAACAAGATATAGTGTAGTGGTTCCCCCAAATAACTAACTCGTGCGTAAGCAACCGCTCCGTAACCAACCTCTGAAGCATCAACGAACAAATACAATTCTACTTTCCCGTCAGGTTCATTGATCCTCTTATTGATCCCTCGAGCAGCAGTAGCATGACCTATCCGACGCATGAAATTCAAACAATTTAGCCACGTGGACATGTATGGCTCGTTGAAAGGCTGGTCCCAGCCTATTTGGGATTTAAATACTTTTTGCAAGAGAAGTTTGACAGTAAGACAGAGTGGAGCGATTTGACTCAAAGGATCAAACAAAGGAGAAACTACAGATAGAATCCCTCTCCTAGTCAAAGGCTTTTCTGGTGCATCAAAGTGAAACTTAAATACATCTTGTCTGAAATCCCATCCTTCACCTAGAGCTCGATGAGTGGTATCGTAACTCGTTGACATTTCTATCAAAGACTCTTCTTTACATACATCAAGCAAGATGGTCCTTACTTTTCCCGAATTGGTAATCCATTTTTTAAATTTAAAACCTTTACGTCATAATCCACTTATCTGCCTAACAAACTCCTTCGCCTGATCACAAGTAGAGAAGGATATCAAGCAATTATCAACATAGGGATTATTCTTGACAGCATCTATGACATAACGATCGTAACCAGCAGAGAATGTTTGGGCTCTCTTATTCATGGCAAAGTTCACACAAAACGGCGATGATGTGGCACCAGATGGATGAAAGGTCATTTGAAATGCAGATAATTCCCTCGACATGTCTTCCTCCTTCCACCATAGAAATCTTAAAGCTCTTCGATCAGGCTCAGGAACCTTCACTTGTATGAATATTTCCTCAAAGTCTACAGAGATTGCAAATGCCTCCTTGAGAAAACTCAATAATATACACACTGGCTCAACAGTGGTGTCGGGTCCTTGATAAGTCATCATTTAAAGAAATCCCTGAAAACTTGACGGCACAATCAAGGACCACTCTAAGTTCTTCTGAGTTTTTCGGGTTTAACACTGCATGATGAGGTAAATACCATCGAGCATGATAAGTTGGCTGCAATTGTATTTCAGGGACCTTCTCCGCATATCCCTCAGTAAAATACTTTCAATAATTTTGGTATACCTGATGTGCAGACTGTCATACCTCAACAATCTACGCTTCAAACTCTGTAATCTACCGTTTACTACTTCATAATTCCCTGCTTCTGTATTTGGATTCCTTTTTTATGGTATCAGAACAATAAAATGACCATTATCGAAGCGTATGCCCCTTCCCACAATCTCTGTAGCTGCCTTGTCTTCTGCTGATACTGATTTATCACTTGAATAGACATCAACAAACTCCACATCATAAAGCTTGCGTATATGGTCCCATAACGTCTGTACTTTACTAGTATGATTAACAACTCCTTTCCTAAATTCCGGGTATGATGCAGGTCTGAAAACAGTCCACCATCAAACTTTTCACAGCATACGTGTTCTTCCTTCCATCCAACCACTGGTCCAACACCCACTGTGCCTCCGGCATGTCGCAACCAATCAACGGTAGAACTTCTCCAAAGTCTGGTCTATCTATTGGTATGTCACCTAAATTTGGTCACTTAACTAGATTGTTCATTGCCGACTTAATCGGCTTATGCCCTGGTATACTTTCCACTATCAGAGCTCCTTCAATCATTACGTATTCAGATCGATCCGAAGAATATGCCTCGAAAGGCGCATTCGATCTTGAACTGTAAGCGCTAAAAATCATGAACATTTATAAACAGCGTTGTCATCGGAACACATACTGCATTAAGCTTTTATTGTCGAACTATTCCACTGCCCCGATTGCAAGTGATAATTCGTTTTTATGTTATTTCTCTTTCTTGAACGATTCACCAACCGTCCAAATCTACTACTGGCTACTCTCGCACGAGATGCTATAAACTTAGTGAGCTCGGCAAACGTCGGCTCTCTATCGTCTTCAGTTAATTTATCCAACAAGCCCGCCCACTGAGCTTGCATGCATTGAGGTAAAAGCCTTACTATTCTCTCTAACGTAATTAAAGAATTTAGATCGGCTGTATACTTCATCCATCTCAAGACCATGGCACAGTTTTTCATTCTTGTAGCTAGGTTTGATAGCTGCTCCGAGTCAGTGTAATCAAAGTTTCAGGTTCGAATAAGTCTTCTAAAGATTCTTGAGCAATTACATGTGCCTGTCCGAAAAACCGTTTTAGAATTTCCCTGGCCCTTTTATAGCTAGCAGAGGCATCCAACATGACACACCCCTCAATGGCTGTTTTCGCTCTACTCTTACAACAATGTATCAAATGAAGCAGGCCTTGACAATCATTCATGACCCTTGATTATACATAGGTCTCAAACTCCCTTAAAAATTTCCAGTAACCTCTTGGTTGTCCGTCGAAATCACTCAATTCAATCTCTATATCTACGACAGGCAGCATAGACATTACGCTCTTCCTTGACTTCACATATAAACTAAGATTTTCTACTACGTCTGCCAGTGAATCACAACTAGATTCGCTATCATGATAACTGTCTCTATTCGACTCTGAACCATGACACATAAGGACATCAAAGGGCACTTGCTTTGTGAGAGGGGATCCATTCTTTTGTTCGTCTCCCGTAATACCGACGAACTTTGAGCCTAACTTCCCTTGAATATCTGGCATCACGACAGAAAGAACTGAATATCTTCAGAAACAAAACTTGTGATCCACGAATCACGAGCCAAGTTCGACCAATCGATTGATATTTGTTTAGAACTGTTAGATTCAAACTAGGGTTTGGACTGAAGAACAGCCGTCTAGGTGGGCTAGCTACGCGCCATTGCCCCCTTGAAACCAAAGCAAAGCGATTGGGTGAGATGACGATGCTGGAATTCGTTACAAATTGAAACGCACATTGTTACCTAAATAAATATGACCACCCAGCTATTCAACCAATACTTGTTCAATTAATCAAATCTAAAGTACAATAAATAAGGAAGTTGATAAATGATGCGAGAAAATTACCAATCACGACAAATAAATGTTGTTCTATCCTGTCTGGATAGATCATGCACAGATCCATTCAAAAGGTAGTATGTGGTTACTTTGTAACACAGAATATTTCCAATTCTGGAAGAGTGCTTCAATCCACAATCAAAAATGCACAATTCCAGTCAATACAAGCAACACAATCAAAAGGAGGAGTAAACCAATATGGCTGCCGCCAAGACTAGGTATCAAGTAAAACAACATAGATGCAGTTCAGGAAGAAACATGGAAACTTAGTGAAGGCGTAAGAAAAATAAAAACGATAATAAAACACAAGTATTACCAACTCAAAGGGAATCAAAAAGTCTAACGAAATGTACAACTAAAGGAATCAGTAGGAACAAACTGCAAGAGTATACATGGAGGGATTTTCACGCACAAAACATTCAAAATGGATCTTACACACGTAGCATTGTGTATGGACATAAATGTGCAGATCTGTCACGATTCTCATGATAACTCCATATCTGATGTTGTACATTCTAACTCTGACATTTAAGTCTACTATCAAGATTTTCAGGTCGTTTTATGGGCAGTTTGCTAAGATTGTTTGCACTCTCTCGTGAGACTGATCTTTATCGTCTTCGTTGCTATGATTGTTGGGTATATAACGTTCAATGTGACCTTCTTTGTTCTGAAGAATGATTTAATGCTTCTGTAACCATTTAATACTTATCTTGTAAGTGTTTGTGCTCTTTTTAGAAAGCATCAAAGCGACTTCCTGAGTGTGCGGAGCATTTCACCTTTCGTGACTGGAATACAACAGTACCTCTCCGAATCTATTCCTTGCTATCCAGCTAGGGTCCGATGGGTTTCGCTGATTATTAGTACTGTCAAGTTCTATCTCCTCATTTCTGTAACTATTTGACTAGTACTCCCGGTCTCCAACATTTTCGGACATTCCATGTGCCTATGGTAGTTAGAAAGGGCATTGCCCTCGTGACGTCGGAAGAACCTCGGTTTTCATCAGGAGACGTCATGATTCTTCCTTGAACTCCCATGGCAGAGTTTAAATCGTTTAATTTTTTAACTATTGTTGGCGTGTTTTTTGGCCAGATCGTTTTGTACGGGAAGGGGTTGGTGAATCCATGCTTAACCCGGACTTGAGACCAGCAGTAGCCCTTGAAGAGCCACGGAAAGAGCCATAGATCAAAACCGCTTTGCCACACTTAAAACACGACTCGGACAAACAGTCATTCTCCCGTTTAGTCTCGACAAATTTGACAGTTTGAATAACGTTCACATATGAAGGGGTTTAACAACGCTGACATCATAGTCTTTACAAAGGAAGTTATCTCAAAAAAAGTTAGAGAAAGAGACGAGGACAGTTGATTCAAAATTTTTATTCCATCGTATGGTTAGCCGACGTGATTTGTGACTTCCAAGTTGATTAGTTATCAGTCGAGGTGAGTTTCAAGATGAGTTACATCATTCGACGGAGATGCTTGTTCAAATGCATTCGGTGAAATGTCGAGTACAACTAACATGATTAGCCTGATGGTCAAATGATTTCGAGCTATTTATGAGAAGGAATTGTTTACTGTTATATATTTGAACGTTGTTGAACATGGCCCAATATTTGCCCTTGAGATTGGAGTTCGTTATCATTTTCCAAATGTAGCGTTACAAATGTTCAGCGACCTCCCTGTTGAATTACTGCAATGTATTTTTATGTTACTCTCTCCTTGTACTGATTTACTCACAGTACTCAATGTCTGCAGACGGTGGAGAGAGGTTGGTCAGAGCGTCTTCAAGCTGCGTGAAAGTCTTAGTCTATCTGCATTTAAAATGCAGAGGCCATTGCAATGGGTATCTCCACAGCTAGCTACCTGTACAGAACGTTTCAAACACACATCCCCATCCAAGAGGTTTGGAGCAACCATCATATTGAAAGAGCAGTTACTGTATGTTTTTGGTGGTGCTACGAAGGAACTGACAGCTTTTAATGATTTATGGACCTATGATTTATCCACCTTCAGCTGGCAGCGTCTGATTGGTAAAGGTCAGTTAACTTTCTACTGCTGTCAAATGATATATTTGCTCAGTTAAGCGGTTAGTTTATTTCACATACTGTGTTCGGATTCCATTTTGGGTAAGGTTTCAGGGTGAGACTAACATTTATGAACGAACCAATCAGATTTGCGATACCAGATCTTGAATTTGAGTACAAAATTTTTCATCTGTTTGGTTAACTAGCATCTTGGCATTTTAGATTGTCAGTTCGTGATGAGACCCCTAAGTATAATCCCTATCCCTAACCATCATCTGAAAATCATTCAAACAGGTCTTAAGCCCTCACTCTTCCCTAATCAGTAGGTGGATATTCTCAAGGCCACTTTAGTGCCGCTCAAAGTCGTCCATAAATTGTAGTCTTACCGATTTTGGGTCACCATTCCGAAGTTTAGTGACTTCTCATAACTTTCTTCCGGAAGTTATTAACTATAGCCGATAACACTGTTGCGGATCCAAAGAATTACTCGACGAGTTCTGTCCTCATCACATCTTTAACACTTCATACATGTCAAAGTGACCTTCCGGGTTGTCTTTCTGGATGTTAATTATTCTTCAGTGAAGTTCTTTCTGAAAAATGCATTCGAGGGCTTGGAGAGCACAGATAGGCGATGGTCTGTATTCCAATCTTTTCGAGTTTTGCCGTGCTGTTCAACCAAACAAGACTGGTAGTAATCGACTAGTATTTAGTTCAAGATAGATGTCCTGATTTTAGACTTGATACTGTGTAAACCTGCGGGGTAAAAATTATCGTCGTTAACTCTGTACTCTGGGCAATGAAAGCAAAAGAGATGGAAAAGGCGGCGACTATAGGGAACACAAGACAGCTTTACAGACTAATAAAAGAAACTGGAATTAATAAGTCAAGTGTAAGTGAGATTATATCGGAAAAAGGCGATACTCTCATCTGCTCCCAGTCCAGACGTTTAGAACGATGGGCGAAACATTTCAGAGAACAGTTCAACTGGCCTTCAGCTACTCTACAACTACCCTCCATTCCCAGACAGCCTGAATGGAACATTGAAGTAGGTCCCCCAACTCTAGCTGAAGTTCAAAAGGCTATAGTTAATCTGAAACGAGGAAGGGCAGCTGGTCCAGATGGATTGGCTCCAGAAGTCTTTAAGGATGGTGGTCCAATTTTAGCGACTAGGTTGACTAATATTTTAGCTAAAATCTGGGAGTTAGACGTTATCCCATCTAACTGGTCACAATCACTTATCGTCCCAATATATAAGAAAGGGTCAAAATCATCCTGTGACAACCACAGAGGGATTAGTTTAACTAATATAATATCTAAAATACTAGCCTCGATAATTATCAGACGCCTAACTAAGACTCGTGAACTGCAAACACGAGAGAACCAAGCTGGCTTCAGACCTGGTCGTGGCTGCATCGACCACATATTCACCATTCGTCAGATTCTAGAACACAGGCACACTTATCGGCGTCCGACAATGGTGGTCTTTCTCGACTTAAAAGCAGCATTTGACTCGGTAGACCGCGAGATTCTGTGGCAGTGTCTGTCATTGAAAGGCGTACCCCAGAAGTACATAAACCTTGTAAAGGCTCTTTACTCGAACACTACTAGTCGAGTCAGAGCTTATGGCGAACTGTCATCTACCTTTGCAACCTCAAGTGGTGTCCGTCAAGGATGTCCACTTTCCCCATTTTTGTTTAACTTCATCATGGATCTACTGATGGAAATAACTTTCTCGTCGACTGAGTTCTCGGGTATTGATCTCCATCCAGGAGGTCCACTTATCGACTTAGAATACGCAGATGACATAGTCCTGTTTGGTGAAGACGCTGACAAAATGCAGAGTCTTCTGGTAGCACTGAGCAACAATGCCAGAATGTTTGGAATGCGCTTCTCTCCCTCTAGATGCAAGTTGTTGCTTCAGGACTGGTCTGCGTTAACACCTGAACTAAGGATAGGGAGTGAAGTAGTGGAACGCGTTGACAACTTCACTTATCTTGGAAGTCTGATCAGCACTAATGGGTTGATGTCTGACGAAATCTCAGCACGGATTCGAAAAGCTCGCTTGGCTTTTGCCAACTTACGTCACCTTTGGCGAAGGCGATAAATCCGTCTATCAATAAAAGGACGAGTATACTGCGCGGCAGTCCGTTCTGTTTTAATTTACGGCAGCGAAACATGGCCATTAAGAGTAGAAGACACTCGTAAGCTATTAGTATTTGACCACAGATGCCTTAGAAATATTGCTGGCGTCTGTTCGGATCACCGGGTAAGTAATAGTGAGGTTAGACGCAGGGTATTAGGGAATGATGGTAAATCAGTTGATGAGGTTGTGAATCTTCATCGACTGAGATGGTTGGGTCACGTGTTACGTATGCCTGAACACCGATTACCACGACGTGCAATGCTAACCGGTGTTGGAGATGGTTGGAAGAAAGTTAGGGGCGGCCAAACCAAAACGTGGCATCAGTGCTTGAAGTCACTAACTTGTAGTCTGAGCCATGTTGGTAGATGCAGACTACTTGGTTGGGATCCGCGTGACTGTCGTAACCAATGGTTGGAGACTCTTGGTGACATGGCTCAGAATCGATCACAATGGCGTCGGTGTATACACTCCCTGTCTTCCCTTAAACTAAGAGATTAAAATCGCTTCATATCTTTCTTTCTACGAACTAATTCTTTCTTCTTGTACTATATCTCTATATGCAATCTTTCTCTTATATATTACCACCTTTGACCTAACCACTGCTATGAATCCGGTGTTCATCTTGTGCTGATGCGGTATGGCAACCTGGACCGATGCATATATGTGCCTGGTCCTACGTTGTAGTTGACTGACTGACAAAAAGCGAACTTCTATCGTCTACGGTGTAAGTCATACTGTTCAAAATTGAGCTCTCGATGACGAATAGCTTGTATCTTAGTAAGGTTAGGGGATAGTTAACTAAAACCTATCAGGCTATTTATTTATTTATTTGAACACATATTGATACAAGGGGGCACCAGATACATATACGCCACACAAATCTCATTTGATATGTGTTAGGGCTGTGATACTGCCCAGGTGCCCAGGACGAAGCAGGTGGTTTTCCTAAGGAGCCACACCCCGAGCCTTCGACTTAAAGGTCTGATCCGCAAAGCAGTGGAGCATCGTAAGGAGATGCAGTCCCATGGTAGCCGGTGACCAACGATTGGTTCGTACGCCATTTGTTCCCGCCGGACATTCGCTTTTCGTCTCCTCAATTTCGTAAACAACACCTCCGCCACGAGAAGGCAGTGAGTAAGACTTCCCTGGTAGAGGCTATATACGCGTGGCCATGTGAGAGCATTTCGAGAGGAAGAGCGGACTCTCCCCACTCTTGGTTGTACCAGGGCATTTGGGGCGAATCAAGTTACCAAGATGCTTAAACACGACAAAAATCCGGGAACCAAATAATATGGGAGAACTTAAGTAACTACCGAAGTAAAGGCCTCCAAATGCCCTGGTACGGTCGAGAGTGGGAAGACCGAAGCTGCTACCATGACGCGGTGGTCGGGCTTGCCTATCGTGATGACCCAACCGAGCTATATTGCCTGGAACATATGTTCCTGTAGGTTCTACCATGCCAGGCAGGTCGATTGGTGAACCTTAAGACTAAAAGCAGCAACTCAAGGTCTGAGAGCGAAGTCGTACTGCTGACTGTAGAGAGGTGTGACAGCAGTAAGGTGTTTCCCTCGGACAACCAGCATCTGCAGCGATGCTGCCTTCCCACAAGGAGGGGTGGGGTTAGAAAAGGTCGACCCTAAAAATGTCACACCTCACCTTATCTCACGGATTTCCGTCTCCGGCGGTAAGGCCCTTTGAAGAACGGGGCTAACACGTTAAAAACCTTCCACAAAATGGCCGTGCGCGACCGGCCACAAGCAGTTGTCCCTTGGGCTCTGCGGTCACGCTCCCAGGTCGTCAAAACCAACACTAATCCAATTTCCTTTTCAGGTTCCTCAAGAAATACCTTTCCACGGTGTGGGCAGCCGGGAAGTGACATCAGCCCTCATACCCGTAACAGCACACGAGACCAAGTTGGTCACATTCAAATCCTTCCTACACCTCCTAATACCTCTCTTATCTCCATGACTAACCCTCCTCACGTCTCTTTATCACCTCGCACCGCTAGGGCAAACGATTTGAGTACGTGGAACGCCATTCCTGGTCTCCTGAAACCACGCTCTAAACTACACGTAGGAGCTTTTAACGTACGAACACTTTGCCAAATAGGACAGCAGGCTTCCTTAGCTAAAACTTTAGAATCTCGCGCCATCGATGTGTGCTGCGTCTCCGAAACGCGCATACAGGATCCAAGTAGCGTCATTCATTTGACCTCACCATGCCAAAATAAAGAACCGACTCGATTTACGCTTCGTGTATCTGGAAGCCCTGATTTTGCTTCCCGTGGCCTCGTCGGCGTAGGCATAGCATTGAGTCCTAAGGAAGAACTAGCTCTCTTAGAGTGGATCCCAGTAGACAGCCGTTTGTGCGCTGTTCGACTGAACGGAACAGTAAGAATCCGGAAAGATAGGGACACTCGTCGTTGCCTCTTCGTCGTTTCTGCCTATTCTCCCACTGACTGCAGCGCAGATGATGTAAAAGATGAGTTTTACAGAAAGCTCTCCGACTTTCTCCGAAAAGCTAGGCGCTCTGATGTAGTAATAGTGGCCGGTGACTTTAATGCTCAAGTAGGTAAACTAAGCGATGGGGAAAGACACCTAGGTGGATCTTATAGTGTCGTGGGTCAAAGAACAGATAATGGCGACCGTCTGTTGCAGCTATGCTCAGATAACCGCCTGTTCCTTGCAAATACTAACTTTTAGCATGAGCGAAAACATCTTTTAACATGGCGACCCCGTAATTCGTCCCAACGTTGGACCCAAATAGATCACATCGCTATCAGCCACCGATGGAGGGGCTCGATAGAAGACTGTCGCTCACTCTGGAGCACATGCTTAGATTCAGATCATGCTCTAGTGCGAGCGCGTAT